AGTCCGGTGCAAAAACGCATGATCGCACGGGCCCGCCCGGTGCGTTTCAGCCTGGGTTTTTTTTGCTTTCGTTCATAGGTTCAGATTTTTTTTTACTTTCCTTCTGCGTTTTTTGAAGCTGTGCAATGCAATTATGCGTTTTTTTTTTGCAGCTATGCAATGCAAAAACGCATATTGAAGAGGGGTTGTCTGTGTGTCTGTGTGTGCGTCTGTCACGCATTTTCATCTCAAGACCTACAAAAGGTGCAGGGCCGAAACTTTGGTAACATAATTTACACGCATGTACGGGCCCCAATCCTCAAAATGGGAACCATTACCTGCGTGGTACTCACGTAAGAGCTTGCCAGAGCTTTTTGCGGGTAAGTCCATAACTCGGGGATCTGAGAAGCTAGAAAGCTGGAATCTTAAGGAGATGTCCCCCGTCCAAGCAGGTGTTAATGAACTCAAAACCATCCCCCGGGTAGGTGTGATTCCCCAAGTACGGGCCCGCCAAAATTTTTTTCTGTCAAGTTCATAACTCGGGGATCTGAGAAGCTAGAATGCTGAAGTAGTGAGGAGATTTCCCCCTCCAAGTGGATATTGATGTGCTCAAACCCAGCCCTTGGATGTGCGTGATACCCACGCACGGGCCCGCCAAAATTTTTTTGGCTAAGTTGATAACTCGGGAATTTGAACAGCTAACGAACTGTAATTTCAGGAGAATATTCCCCGCTCAGCTAAGTCTCATTGAGCTCAAACCCAGACTCCCGGCACGCGTGGCAACCACATAAAGGGCCGCCAAATTTTTTTTCGAATAAATTGCTAACTCAGGAGCTTGGAAAGCTAGAAAGCTGAAATTTCAAGAAAGGTGTTTCCTGCCAGTTCAGGCGTCCAATCTTAATTCGTTTAGCTAGAAACATTTGCCGAAAAAACCGGTGGCGGTAGCGACAAAAACTGCGGGGAATTATGCAAAAACGCATCTTCGTACTGGCAGCCCGTGCGTTGGCCAATTATTTTGCTTTTGTTCATAGGCTCAGGTTCGGTTTGGTTTACTAGGTGAGGAAGGTCACTTATCCAGGCAACACAGTGTCTTTGTTTCCTTGCTATCCCTTTCAAACAGGACACCTTTTATAGCTATGGCGGATATCTGCTACAAATTGGGATATTTAAGCAGCCCGGCGATGTATTTACAGTGGTCATGGCCATTTTGCTGGGATCATATTTCCTGGGTGTTATTAGCCCACATCTGATGGTACTTCTCAACGCTCGCGTAGCTGCTGGCTCCATATATCAAACGATTGATCGGGTAAGCTCTTGTATTGCCAAGTTTAAGCCCAAGGATCATTGAAACCTTTCGGCGTTGCTGAACTTTCACCTTTTTTCTAAGCCTATTTGCATTCAAGCGTGGTTGTGAAGAGCGCTTCAAAGCGCATATGAGTCACGTTCATTTTGTATTCGAACAAAATTTTTGTTTTCTCATAGCCGTAAAAAATTAGTGCGACGGAAGCTCCGCGAAAAGAGACACATTTTGGAAAAATAATTGATATAAGTTGAAAATGCACTCAGCAAGCAAAAAACTGGGGTGCGTTAGGCAGCGCTCATAACGTGAAGAGGAGGAATTTGATTCCTTCCCGATCCATGCTTATTTGCAAAAAGGACTCCGTTTGCAGGAGGCTGGGAGAAGGTGCATTAGTAGGAATTTGGAATCAACATTGATTTCAACCTAGTTTGGATCGCACCAGGCTTCCGGTGCGATTATATGTTTTTACTCTAAACTTGAAGCAGTTAGTTCGTTAACTGTACGAATGTTTGTTACTTTACGTTTAGCTTGTGTACTTATCAGTGGAAGTCATCATAAATTTGCATGAAAGTAAATGAATAATTTCCGTTGGACGGTGAGTCATTGAAAACGACCAAGCTCTTCAGTGAGTAGCCTTTCCGCCAAAACATCCATGTGCTTCTACGTAACAACCATCCAGGAGAGGGGTTAGGGGGAGGAGAGGGGGTGAATTTTAAGTGTTTAAGATACGCGTGGACGGGAAACGTCTCTCTAACATTTCACTATCCCAGCCTTCCTGGCTTATGAGTTGGTAATTTCCTCGCCAAAATTTTCAAATTTTTATATGTGAGGACCACACATACTGGAGAGGGGGAAGGAGTAGGGGAGAGAGATGAACTTGAAACCTTTAAGTTGTTCGTGGACAGGAAACATCCCCTCAGTATTTCAGCACTCCAGTTTTTCTGGTTTCCGAGTTAGCAATTTTCCACCAAAACTTCCACATTTTTGCAGACTGCGCTCGAACGCATGTGAAACTTGGACCGGTTTTTCTGGGGTTGCGCTTAGCCAAGGAAGCCACTGGCAAAATTTCAGCTTCGAAACTTGTCTGGTTGACGAATGAAAATACCCGGACAAACACATAAAAAAACACGCATACATGCGAAAATATACACATGCGCACAACATTGGTCATCGCAATATGTTTATTGCATTTGCATGCATGCAAAAAGACATAACAAATGCATGTAATATGGTGTGACAAAGCATAATATTGCAGCAGCCAAAAATTGACGTGTATTCGAGTACTGGCGCATGTCCTGGTAATGTCAAGGGAAGAATTGTATTCAAGAACGTTCATTTTCGATATCCAACACGAAAAAATGTCAAAGTACTGAATGGCTTGGATTTGGTTGTTGAGCCAGGTCAAACAGTCGCCCTTGTTGGACACAGGTAAGCCGGTAACTCTGGCAGTAAAGTCCTATTTCAATTCATCGTTGAAAAAAATGAGCCAGGTATTATTATAATAATAGTGTGATTCTCAAATACCCGAAATACCAAGACCCTCAGGGCATCAGTGTAATTACCCGATGTCAGTGATGTTAGTGGGATGCTCCCATACGCGGTGTACAGCCATGCCAGGCCCTATGGTGCTGAGTTGTATACCTTTAGTTGATACGCGCTGCCTGTTCTGTTTATCTGCACCACTTCTTCGGAAACCGCCCGAGCGGTCATTTTGCCAGTTCTACGAATTAATACACAACTTCCACCGGTTGTTGGCAAGGGGACTATAGTGCCTTTTTCAACTTATCAGTAAATTGCTTTCCAAAGTGCTTTCTTTTCAAAATCCTATGAAATTCTCCAGAACAAATCTCGCAGGGCGCTTTTTCGTGAATAACTGTAAAAAGCTGGCCAAAAATGCGAAAAGTGTCAGTTGCTTATGGTAGATGCAGGTACTGTAAAGTTTGTATGGATGCCACAAATATAAAAATAATTGGCCAACGCACGGGCTGCCCTTGTGAGGATGCGTTTTTTGCATAGTTCCCCGCAGTTTTTGTCGCTGCTGGCATCGGCTTTTTCGGCAAATGCTTCTAGCTAAACAAATTAAGACTGGCCGCCAGAATTGGCAGGATACGCTTCCTTAAAATTTCAGCTTTCTATTTTTCCTGGCTCTTGAGTTAGCAGCTTACTGAAAAAAAAACTTTCACGAGTCCGCACGCGGGTACTACGCATACCCGATGTCTGGGTTTGAGCTCGTTGAGACTTACTTGGACGGGGAATGTCTTAAAACTACAGTATTTTAGCTTTTCAGGTTCTCGAGTTATGAACTTACTCGAGGAGGGCTTTGGTAGACACGTGTGTAGGTACCACGCATGACCGAGGGCGGGTTTGAGCTCGTTGAGACTAATATGGACGGGAAACATCCTCTTGATATTACAGTCTCCTAGCTTTTCAGGTTTTCGACTTATCAACTTACCTGGAAAAAACTTTGACGGGCCCGTATGTGGGTACCATTCTTACCCGGCGACTGAGTTTGAGCTCATTTAGGCTTACGTGGACGGGGAACATTCTCTTAAAACTACAGTCTTCTAGCTTTTCTGGTTAGTGAGTTATCAACTTACCCGAGAAAGTTTGGGGGCCCGTACGCAGGTACCACACTTATCTGGGGCTGGATTTGAGCTCATTAATATCTACTTGGGTGGAGAACATCCCTTTAAAATTTCAGTTTTCTAGCTCTTCTGGTTCGCGAGTTAACAACTTACTCGTGAAAAGCTTTGGCGGACTCTTACGTGGGTACCACACAGGTAAAACCGCCTATTTTGGGGATGGGAGCCCGTACGTGCATGTAGATTAAGTCCCCAAAGTTTCAACCCTGTAGCTTTTGTCGGTCTCGAGATGAAAAATCAGTACAGAGGCCCCGCGCGCACACAGACACACACAAACACACACATTCAAACTCTCGTCAGTATGCGTTTTCCGCATTGCATAGCTGCAAAAAACGCATAATAAATACTGAAATTGTCATAGTGTGGAGTATAAATGTTGCAGCTATCATTGTTGGCACATCACGAATCGGGAAGTGTGTGGGCAGTAAGGATGTGGTTATGTTTCTTAAAGGGTTTTAGCAAAGTAGTAATGCAACCAAATGAATTTATTTACCGTTTTCTTCAGCGGCTGCGGCAAGTCGACATTGGTTGGACTTATTACGAGGCTGTATGAAGCAGAATCTGGAACGGTCACTATTGATGGATATGACGTACGTCATGTGAATATTGAATGGTTAAGAAATGTGGTCGGTGTTGTGCAGCAAGAGCCTGTTCTGTTCAGCGACACAATCGAAGCAAATTTGAAAGCGGGAAATTCGAATGCCAGTCAACAGCTAATCGTCGAAGCGTGTCGCACAGCCAATGCTCATGACTTCATCAAAAAACTACCTCATGTACGATTTCTTCCAGCAATTTTTTAGCGAAAACGAGCAAGGGTTTAATCTGTACAATTGCCTTTTGTATCAGGGAAAGAGATGACCTGAAACAAACAGCAAATTAAGCCAATACTGACCGATGCCATGCTTCTTCCATGCAACCAAGACATATTGACTGTTTCTGCTGTTGCTATTGAGGAAAATGATAGGCATCAGAATAGCTAGTTTCTGGAGCTTCACTTAATCCAGGAGAAAAGAAACGGCTTTCGAACTAAAATTCGTTAGCGAAATTTGCCCACAACAAAAAAGAACATGGATTATAAACGACATTTTCTAGGGCTATAAAACAATTATCGGTGAAGGTGGTGTACAGCTGTCAGGAGGCCAGAAACAGCGCATAGCAATAGCACGGACGCTAATACGCAATCCAAAAATACTGCTGTTAGATGAGGCAACGAGCGCACTGGATACGCATTCTGAAGCGATCGTGCAGGTGATAATTTGTATCACTTTCATGTCAAAACTGATGAAAGCCAATCGAAGAAACAGTTCCACCAGAACTTTGTCTTTTACTCTACTATAATTGAAAGTAAAGTATTTCAAGTTCTTGCATCTTTAGGAAAATTCAATCTAGGCTGCAACGCACCAGGCTTGCCGGTGCAATCATGCGTTTTCGCGCTAAACTTAAAACAGTCAGAACATTAGTAGCAGAAATGGGAACCAGAACGATTTGGTCATTTTCAATGGGATTTTATCATTTTCCTTCATATAAAATTACGCGATTTATTGGCTAACCTACGGCGCCAAATAAATATCCATAGTTTACATTTTTCAATTTTTTTCTCCCTTTTTTTAAAAAAAAAACTTCCAAAACACTTACTGTAGTGACAGCACAAATTAAGTGTGATTTACGATGCGCAAGTTAAATGTAATGCAACAACCATTTATGTAGTTAACGAACTGATTGCTTCTAGTTTAACTTACAAACGTATTGTTGCACAGGCGAACCCGGCACATCGCAGCTTAAGTTATTCATTTTCGGCTACTTATAGCTATTTTTATCTCTTAGGTACTGAGATAGACAAAAAAAAGTTATTCTTTAACTTCATCGCTCTCGAGAAGTAGCATTTCTCATGTCAAAAATTTCACTTCGCTAATGGGACAACCATTCTCATATGACTTCTTCACTCATTTCGACAGCAAATACGTCTTTATGCGTTTTTGCTTATATGCAAGTGCAAAAACGCATATTGTGACGACCCCGGTGTGTGTGTGTG